GAGTATAAGGTTAGCACTCAAAAAAGGCTTGTTCAATGACAGAATACTTCAAATCTTCTCAGGAGGTGGTACAGTATGAATTAGGAGCTCATTAAATCCGTATGCATCTATAGGTTTAGAGCCATTCTTAGAGATACCAATTCTTCCAACCGGTGTGTTTACATTACAGAAAAGGAACACAGTGCTAGAAAATCCTTCACCCAGACCAGCTTATTTGTGCATTCGTTGGGGCTACTACTCAGCTAGCTCTGCTTAAAGCTTTTCTGAGGCACAAGTCCTCAGGTTGGGGTGAGTCCTGTAGACAGTGTCGGGGAACCTAGAGTGGTGGATGGTGGAAAGCAGCAGAAAGTGGAATTTTAAAGGCAGCACTGCTGGTTGTCAGGTCAGTGTTCACAAGACTAGGCCACTCACCTTCCCCCACCCCCACATGATGCTCATCTTAGTGAATGGGTCCTTATTTGTCAAAGAGCTAACCGAGGCTCATACTGTAGGACAATATGGCAGCTTAAGGATCCAGGGCCTGGAGAATAACATCAGTAACAATTACTACTCACAATGTGCACGCCTCAACAATGTTGCGAGGCACACAAGGCAGCTCGAGCACCTATTTTACAGAAGAATAAATTGAGGCTCAGAGAGTAGGAATGACTTGCCCACAGTCATACAGCAAATGGAAGAGCTATGACTTAAATGGAAGTCTTCTGGTGTCGAACCCAGGGCTTTTTCCTCCACCCTACCTGGTCTCTGCCTGTGTCGGGGGCTGAGCATGCAGTCTGCGGGCTCGGGGCAAGCCAGAGGCATCAAGAAATCCCCTATTCGTGGGTTAAGAATCTTGCTCCAAACCATCTGTTAGCAGAGATTCGTTCCTGAGAAAAACATACCCCTCTTGAAGCCAATCAGCATTCAGGGTTCCCTGCCATTCCCAGGTACCCTGGGATTCTCCAGAGCCTCATGTCTTGCAATTCTGGAAATGCTGAAAATCATTTCTACAGAAAGGTCAGTTTTAGTTTGTGGAGACATTTATCTGAAAAACAAACATGCAAATGACACATGTGCCTACATATAAGCATTTATACTATATACGTGGGTACTAATTTGATCCTGTTCTTTCTCTCTCTGTATCTCTCTCCTATTCTCTCTCTTTCTGCAAACCTAATCCTGATGCATCATTGTCTTATCTCTTCTGGGGCTACCTCCATCATGCTCCATGATGTCTTTATTTCTTTTTTATTTTTAAATATATCTTTATTGATTTCAGAGAGAGGAAAGGAGAGAGAGAGAGAGAGAGAGAGAGAGAGAGAGAGAGAGAGAAACATCAATGATGAGATAGTCATTAATTGGCTGCCTCCTGCATGCCCCTGACTGGGGATTGAGCCCGCAACCCGGGCATGAGCCCTGACCGGGAATCAAACCCCGATCTCCTGGATCCTAGGTGAACACTTAACAGCTGGGCCACGCCTAGCCGGGCCCTGATGTCTTTATTTCTTTCTTCTGAGCAAGTTTACTGGGGACCACTTTTGTCTCAGAGGGCTTGAAGTCCAATCTAGTTGGCCAACATCTTGTAGGAAACTCATAGAGGGAATGTGGACCAGTATTGAAGAGAGTTGTTGCTAGAATATGGATGCACTTGTGAGAGAGAGAGACTAAGAACCAGCAAGCAGATTGGCCTGAGCTGAACTAGAACAGGCACTGGTGAGCGAGAAATGGCAGAATAATAAATGATTTCCCCTTTTTTGACAATTTTGTCCAGGGCCTACATGCTCAGTGCCCTCTGGAGAGATAATGTGGCTCACTGAACTCATCTCTCCTGGATACCTTTGGCCTCCTACAGTCTTACCTAGTAGTACCTATACATATTTTTGCTGGCCTTTCACTAACCTCCAGTTAGTGTCCAAAATTAAGTGATTATAACAGCCTGCCCGACTTCTTTGGGAAGAGTGATATATTTATATATATTATATTCTTTATCTCCATATGCCCATTTTATGAGTCTGTACTTTACTCTTATAATCTAGACCCTTTCCAAGAAATATTTGTCCTTTGTGCCATTTTGAACTAAAAGTGTAGAAAAGGGAATACGTGCCATTATGTCATTGTTTAGAGAGAACCAGAAATATTGAGTTTAGAGATGAACTTGGTCCCTATCAGAAGGGTTTCCTTTGTTTACTCATTATTTAAGGGGTGGGGGAGCCATCACATGCTTTCAAATGCATTTTAATGAATGTTTATAAAGTCATGGGGATCACATTGGTGGCTTTGTCTCCCTGATTATGAAATGGGAGTCTTTAAGCATTTGAGGATAGAGATAAAGTCATTCTTTTCTTAAAAATGTCAGAGTACCAGCCCTCCCCTCCCAGTGCCTTCTCCCACACATAACCAAGACAGAGCCTGTGAGGTCTCAGGCTGGAAGCTGGGACACCTGGGGTCTACTGTTGTCATTATACCCTAACTAGTTGTATGACCACAAACAAACCAAGTCCCATTCTGATTTGTGTAAAAAGAGGAGGTTGAGATGTGCTCTCTAGAAATCCTGCCAGTGTCTACTGATTCACTTTTCTTGTAAAAATAGAAAAATTTAAAATCTCGCAGTGAGTGGGCAAGATCATGTGCAATGCATCGCCTGAAGGAAGTAGAGGTTGGCTGGTAGCTGGGACCAATAGCTTCCTGTCATGGAGTCCACAGAGACTGGAAACAGCACATGCATGAAGCTGGAAAGTTTGTTTAGAAGGGCCTGAAAGTTTCGTTGGGGATCTGCCACACTCAGTTCAAAGTTGAGAGGGAAAGTCATTCAGGAGTAGCAAGCTATCTGATACATTTGATCTAAAATGTTGGCCACAGGAGTTAATCAACACCCAGCCCAGGAAGGCAGACCTCAGCCCAGCACCCACTGGTCCAGGTGACTCAGCGAAGGTGTCAGTGTGCACTAAGCATGGGGGACAGCCCAGCCAACTTCTTGCAATTGAGATGAGTAACAAATCATGGGATTGCACAAGAGGAGGCAATGAGGCAAACCTGTATCTAGGGGGGATATTAACTGGATAATTGATTTCCAAGCCTCACCAATGCCTGCTGAAAATAGATGCATTTAGAGTGAGGCTGGGTAATTCCGTATAAATGCAGTCACCTTCCCCAGCCTTGTTTAGGCTTTGCTGAGGTTATGGCAAGTCAGCGAGGGTGCTGCAGGTTAACTGTTGAAAGCTCTCACCATAAAATCCCAGATGCAAAGCTGCATGGCTTCTAACAGTGTCAAGTCTCCTTTAAGTCTATTGAAAAAGGAGAGCTCAGAAGAAGCTCTCATCTGCTCCTCTTTTGAAACTGCAGCCTCGACTAGTAACCCTGCACACCCAGGGATAGCAAGGACAGCCTGCCTCCTGATTAGTTATGCTCCCAAAGCATTCAATGAGGTGAGCGGCTGTCAAGCTACAGACGTGGCACAGCAAGGGTGGCACCCACTCCAGCAACTGAATCCACCAGCAGTAGGACTGCCATTAACATCCCACTGGGGCACCCTGAGGTCTGTTTTGTCATTGAGGAGCTGGTTGGGTTCCCAAATTGGAACTGAGTGGAAAACATTGGCTTGGGTGCACTGATGGGTGCCTGAAAAGTTGCATGAGAATTGAAACACCTGTCCTTTGCCAGTGGTTTCTAATATTACTTTTAGCATCCAGGGGTCACTCCCTGCTTTCTCCACCTCCTGCCACCTTAGTTCCAACAGGTTAATGGCAGGCCTACAATTAAATGAAAGCTCCAGGAGCACATGAAATCTGCCAGAGATTCCAGGCCACTACTTCTCATAGCCCCTGCACTCCCTTCCTATCTCCCAAACCCCTCTCTCCCCTGCTTAATTCTACATAGACTTCATTGTCATTAAATCTGTCTTGCAGTCCAAGATATTGTGAACAGCACATTGGGCCCAACCGCTGCCATCTCAGAGTCCCTGCAGGGGATCCTATATAAAACCCATACTCAGTCATTCCTTATTGATCCATTTCATACATTTCTATTTTCTATATATTGGATTTCTTTGACCTTTTTGGGAGAATGTAGAAGAGATCAAATTTCAGTTTGGGACCCAGTGACTTGCTTGTGGACTACTCCATATTGATTGAATGACTAGACAGGAAAACATGTGATCTGATCATTTCAAAAGAAAAGGCAAAAAAGTAGGTAAGTCCCCTCACTCAGAGCGGTGGAGCTTCTTCTGTAGGCACGAGGTAGTCACTGTCTTGCCCCCTTGGTGGATTAATGTAATGAGTCAGAAGACAGCTGAGTGGTCATGGAGGGTCCCTGCATCTGCCCTCCAACTGAGCAACTCTGAGCAAGCCCTGGTTCCTCCCTGGGTCTCAGGGCCCCTGTCTTTAATAGGATGGGGTTGGACTCCCAGGGCACTACTAGATCTACTAGGTTCCACAGAATCTGCCCCATTTCACATAAGAGTCAGAGCAGCATCATGAGATGAGGAAAAAAATTATGCTTATTTTACAAATGAAGAAACTGGGGCTCAGAGATATTAAGTGGCAAGACCAAGACCTCCATACATCTGCCTCAGGAGTAGAGTTCTATGCCGCATTGCCTCCACCTGTGCTCTGGGCCAGTGGTTCTCAACTTGGCTGTCCACTTAGAATCATCCAGGGAGCTTTGAAAAACTTCAGATGCCTGGGCACCACTCCAGATGAGATTGAAGCAATTTATTTGTGGTGGAAGATCCCGGGAATCTGGAAGTTTCTAAGTGATTTAGTCTGCCATGAGAGTCATGGCCACTGTTCTGCTAGCAGGTAGCCCCCACACACTTGTTGATCCCCTTATGAACCAAACATGAGGGGACAGTACTGGGTGTTCCAGTAAGACTTCCAAAGCTAAAAGAGCATTTCTTACATGAAAAAAAATGCTTGAAGAGAAATGTATCCGTTAGACTGTTGGCATTTAGGGGATTTTCAAGCCCCTCTCAACTCACTCATATTCTTGCACTTCACTCCATTCCCTTTCCCCTTTACTTGCAGGTCATAGCCATTGACGTGACAGGTACAGATGACTGTATAAAGCTTGAAAGAGTAAGAAATACTACATTACTAATTGCTTTGTTCCAAAAGGTATGCTTTTATAAATGGTAGGCCCCTCCCCCAAGATGCATATCACAGATTGGAGTCTTTTCCTGTTGTCTCACATCTCCCCAACCTGAGGATGCATCTGCAGAGAGGGACTTCTTATTTAGATACCATTATACTTTTTTCCATTGCAAGTCATTCTATTAAAAACAAGCAAGCAATACAAAAATGTAGAGAATAGGAAAGGTATTGCCAGTCCTCCCCAAGAAGTTACTGTTCCAAATGGTTGCTATACATTTTCCCAAGTTATTTTTGTATACTCATAGCAATGCATGTTAGTGCATGTGTGTGTGTGTAAAAATAAATGGAACCATGCTACAATGACTGTTCTGCAACTTGCGCTTTCCTCTAAATAGTATATCTTAAACGACTGCTCTAAAGAATACACCCAGAGCTACTTCAGTTCTCTAAAGGCTCTGTTGTATTCCATTTTATCACTGCAGCTTGATGCATTTAACAAAGACAAGGAAGCAACCTAAAAGTTCAATGTTTATGTTATGTTTTTTTAAAAATCTGGATATCTGTAGATAAGTGCAAATTGAAAATATCTTAGTTACTTCTAGCTTGCTCTCAAATGCTTGCCTTTGGCAGCACAGTTCATTTAATGTCTTCTGCATAGTTTTGTTGAACTCGCCTTTAAGTGGGCAAAGAATATCATTTGAGTGACTTCCTGTGGTATTTAGTATTACTGATAATATAATGCTTTATTTAAAATGTAACAAAACAGTTTAAATGAAACACAACAACAAAGAAACAAGCATTATGGTTCCAAAGATAAGCAGTATTATAAAGGTTTGACAATTAAAGTCTTGAAACTGAGATATGTTTTATATTGCAAGTGTGCTCTTCATTAGCTTTATTGTGCCAAGCCTTTATAATTCCCCTCCTTCCCCCCTCTCTCTGCCACAGGGAACCATTAAGAGGAGACAGGAAGGGGATAACATCCAGTTTCTAGGCATGGCTGATGGGGGTTACCCTAATAAAATCAAGAGGCTTTGCCTTGAAGATGTCACCCTTTCTGTGGGCCCAGGTACCCATTCCAACATGCCCTGTGCAGAGCTGCAGGTTCGTCCATTGACAATGAACCCTAGCCCTTCAGCTATGGGAGCAGCCAGCCATTCATTACTACTTGAAAATAATTCCATGAATAGCAGCATAGTGGACTCTCCATTTGTGGTACCACAGAATGCAGAAATGGGACTCAAAGGGCCTATTGTTCCTTACTACGACAAAACCAACAGCATGATGGCTGTGGAGCAAGACCAGGAACTTCAGGATCTGCTAGAGGAGCTAACAGAGATTCAAGGCCCTTCTCCAAATGAACTAGATCTTGAGAAGATACTGGGGAGCAAGCCAGAAGAACCACCAGTCTTAGATCATTCTCAGGCAACCCTGAGCACAACTCGAAAACCTTCAGCTCAGATGCCACGCTTGGAGAGCCTTGGTTCCAGTAAGGAGTTTACTTCTGGTTGCAGCCAGGTCACTGGCATATCACTTCAAATCCTGCCCTCCTCTGCAGGGATCAGCTATGCTATTCCTTCCACCAGTAAACAGATGGTCACACCTAGTTCTGTGACAACACAGGCCAAGAGCCAGGTCCAGGCTATGCTCCCACTCCCAGTGCCTCAGTGGCATCATGCCCACCAGCTGAAGGTGTTAGCGGCCAGCAAGCAGGCATCTGCTATGAAGCAGCAAGGCCCTACCTCCAGTTGGTCTAGCCTGACCCCTTCAGGCCTCTCCCCACCTTACTGCCCAGTGCCATCACCACACCCACTACCACCTTTCAGCCCACAGAGCTTCATGGTATCCTGCATGTCATCCAGCAATCTTCCGGGGAGTACTCTCCAAGGCTCTCCCAATGCCTTACTCTCAAGCATGGTGTCCAGTAGCAGTGTTGCCCTTGGGTCCACCATCTCCTATGCTCCCGAGAAGCTCCCCAGTCCAGCTCTCAATCAGCAGCAGCAATTCAGCCCACAGAACTCCATTCTCACCAGCCTAGTGTCCTCTACCATTAAAAGCCCTCAAGGCCACCTGATGTCTGCTCTGCCCACCAGCAATCCGGGGCCCTCCCCACCCTACCACCCAGAGAAGCTTTCCAGCCCAGGCTTGCCGCAGCAGTCCTTCACTCCACAGTGCTCCCTGATCCAGAGCCTCACTCCCAGCAGTAATCCACTAAGCCAGCAGCAGCAGCACCAGCAAACAAATGCCATCGTCAAGCCCATGGCCACCAACTCATCCAAGACCCTGAGCATGATCATGCAGCAGGGGCTGGCCAGCTCCAGACCAGGAGCCCCAGAGCCATTTACTTTTGGCAACACCAAGCCCTTGTCACATTTCATTTCTGAACCAGGCCCCCAGAAGATATCCTCCATGCCTGCCACCTCTAGGCAGCCTTCTCTGCTCCACTATCTGCAGCAGCCTATGCTGACGCAGGCCTCTTCTGCCACTGCCTCCTCTAGGGCCATGGCCACCTTGCAACTGCAGCAGCAGCCTGACCATTCTTCATTCCTTCTGCAGCAGATGATGCAGCAGCCCCAGCGCTTTCAGAGATCAGCAGCCTCAGAGTCCATGCCTCCTCTGCCCAGACAGGTAAGACAGTTTTATATCTGGTTGGGTTCCTTGGTTTTGGAAGTAAAAACCATGTCCCGTGCTATTCATACCTGACTTTGGAGTCAATTCCAAGCTCTGGTCCTCCCTGAGACTAGACTTGACTCTGGAAAAGTCAACTGAAGCCAGCTAATTCTGCCTGGTTGAAGCACAGAATTAATGAGACCAATGTTATGGTTTCATTTCCTGTGCAGGAAGAAAACTGCACCCACAGGTGCTGCCAGGAGCAGGAGCCAGGGATGACAAGTCACAATTGTAAATAACTGCCTTCTCCTTTATTGGGTCATGGAGCATGTTCCCTAGCACAGAACCAGTGAAGGCTTTGTAGGATGCAAGAAAATTGCACTGAAACATTTAAATCTTGTCCCTGATGGCATAAGTCTAAACATTAAGCCTTCTAGAAATGCCACAGTAGACTTCTGCTGAGCAGCTCCAGTGTGCTATTTGCCACTGCGCTGGATGCTAAAGCGGGCCCTAAATGGAAATGACAGATACATGTAAGGTAGTTACTCTTACCGTCTCCATTTTACACACAAAGAAACAGAGGCTCAGATTGCTGAAATGACTTGCTCAGAGTCACACAGTTAGTAGGGCAGAGCATGAACTTGAACCCAAGCAGTCTTGCTCCAGAGCCTGTGCTTTTCTCCAAATTACTGTGACTTCTCTTTCCCTCAGCTTCTACAGTCTTACCACTTATTAATTCAGCTGATTCTCCTTAGGTGGTGTAAATCACAGTTCCCACTTTTCATTGTTCAGATCTATGCCTGTATTAATTATCTATTGTCATGTACCAAATTACCCCAAAACATCTACTTAAAACAACACACATATATTACCTCATGGTTTCTGTGGGTGGGAATCCTAGCAAAGCTTAACTGGGTCTTCTGGCTTCAAGTCTTTCTTGAGGACTGTAGTCATCTCAAGGCTCAGCTGAGAAGGATCTACTTCCAAGCTCACTGCCATGGCTATTGTCAAGAAGCAGTTCCTTGAAGGTTGTTGGACTGAAGCCTCATTTCTTCGTAAGCCATTGGCCAGAGGCGCCTCCCATGGTTCCTTGCCACGGGTTCCTCTCCATAGAACATCTCACAATATGGTAGCTAGCTTCATCTGAGTGAGCAAGACAGAAGTATGCCAACAAAAGAAGCAGGGGAAGTGCCAGGAAGTAAGAAGTTGCAGTTGTTATAACCTGGTCTTGAAAGTGACATCCCATCACTTTTGCTGTATTCTGTTCATTAGATGCAAGTGTGAGGGTGTGAATACCAGGAGGCAGGGACCACTGATGTCTGCCAGAATACTATGCCATGGTCCCTCCTTCCCATTGCTCTTATCCCTGCCCACGTTCAGGCCCTCTTGATTCTTTGTCTGAACTCGTTCAGTTGACTCTTAGGTTGGTTTCCCCTAATCATCCATCCATTGCTCTAAGCATTGCATTGCTCCAACAGAGACCTGATCATGTTTCATACATGCTCAGAAATTTCCAGAGGCCTTTAACCTGTCTCCATCTATTTTCTTAGCAATGTCCATTGGGCCCTGCCTGGCACTTCATTTCAATAACCCAGAATTTTTGTTTATTTGTTTCTTTTTTGTTGATTTCAGAGAGGAAGGAAGAAAGAGAGAGAGATAGGAACATCAGTGATGAGAAAGAATCATTAATTGGCTGTCTCCCACATGCCCTATACCAAGGATCGAGCCCATGACCCCTGCATGTGCCCTAACCGGGAAATGAACCATGACTTCCAGGTTCATAGGTTGACACTGAACCACTGAGCAACACTGGCCAGGAATATAACCCAGAAGTGCTTGCAGCTCCGGGCCACTCTACGTTCTTGGCCTCAACTCCTGCTCTTCCCTGTGCCTCGCCTTCCCTTTCTACCTTTTCTTTCCTATCCCACTCTTACTGTTTCCTAAGGCTCAGGCACCCCTCTAGGAAGCTCTTCCCTGACTTGCCTTGGTACTTCTCTCTCCCATTCTGCCTCCCTCTTCTGTAGAAAAGCCAAGGAAGAGATAGCTATAAAGTGTTTGGCCAGGGATCTGGCCCAAGGGAAACACCTGCTGGACTGCCCTCTTTCCTGAAGTCCCTGGATGAACGTGACTCTGGCAGCCCCTGAAGGACAGAGACTATGCCTTTTTCATCCAGGTCTCATGAAGATAACCAAACAGAGTGCTCCACCACAGGGAATTGATCCACCACAGGGAATAGATGCATACAGCAAGCAGAGCTTCCGTGAGGGTGGCCAGGATGAACTGCAGGCCTTTGTCCACAGTTCAGGAGCACTTTGGTTTGATTTTGTTATAGGCTTGTTGCCATGTATTTTCATGAACTTCTGCAGCTGGCTCAGTGGAGAGTCAGTATCAGCACTGGAACTCTTACCCTAGCAAGCAAGATCCTCATCCTGGATATGTGTCACCATCTAACATTGTTAGCCTTTTGGTTTTTTCATGTCTTCAATGGAGTACATTGTAACCTGACTGTGTTGCCTCAGAGCTGGTTCAAAGGGAGAATTCTTAATGAGTGGGGTTATAAAAATCACACCCAACCAATTACCTAGGTGGAGTTGGAGAAACTGTTCAGAAGAAAGACCTAGCAGCCAAGCTCCCTTAACCTAGGAAGAGCTCAGGCGGTTTCCACCAGCAGAAGCACAGGGCTGGATTCCCTGAATGAGATGTCTTGCTGCCAAGAACTGCCTTCCCAACCAGCGCCAGCCAGTGCCCACAGGCCAGCCATGCAACCCAGTACTTCACCTGCCTTTTCTCATTTTAATCCTCAGAGTAAGGTGCTGTTATCATTCCCTTTAAAACTGAGAAAATTTAGGCACAGAGAAGTCACCAGTTACCCACAATCGCACAGCAAGTCAGGACCAGAGCAGAAAGTCTGACTACAGAGCCCACACTCATAACCTCATGCACAAGGCACTGCCTCCAGAGGCTGGGCATGATGATAGGTTGTTAGAGGATTAAATGTGTTAATACATATAAAATACTTCAAACTGGGCCTGGCACAAAGTACCTGGCAACAAAGCTTTACTATAACTATGACTCTTAATTCCTGGCCCTGAGCCTCCAAATCTGTTTTCTGGAGGCTAAGATGTGACTATCAAAACTGGTGCTGTGTCAGGACAGAATATGCACAGCACTCTCCAGACTCCATGCCCACTATGAGATTGTGAGGAGCTGTGGAGTCTACTAACCTTATGGGCTCTTCCTGTTCTAGTCCCTGCCACACATAGATCATTCCAGGCCAGGTGGAAAAGGAAAGCGATCTATTTTTGTTCAGCTGGCTGGGATTTCCTCTTCATTCTTTCTGGAGCTTTTTCATGCTCTCATTCTACCCCTCTACACTGCACCCTGTTCTGTCCATGGCATTCTTCTAGCCAAAATGCACTGAGGAGGCCTCCAAGCTGGGCACATGAACAGCTCTGTTGTTCCTTCTTGTGGCCTTTCCCTATTCACTTTAAAGCCTAAGAACTCAGCCCGGGTCAGTCTTCCAGGGTCGAGAAAAAAAGAAAGGAAGAGGAAAGTGAGGCAAGAGCTAGGTCACCCATGCAAGGACAGACAGCAGCCCTAGTGGTGGGGAAGGACACGCTTCTTGCTTCCAGCATGATGAAGTTGTCAAGTTCTACTGATGGCTATATTGAACCCCAGCAGACACTCCTTGCTGACTACATGGCGCTGACTAGCTCATTGATCTTCCATGGATGCTGGTGGTCACTGCAGGAGGACTGGGCATTCATTTTGATCCAGATATTAAATTTTTTAAAAGTGTAGTTTCTAAATGTAAGATGAGAAATCAAATCATGAGTAAGCAGAAATGCCAAATTCAGCTGTCTATAGAAGCCCATTCTTATTTGCAGACTAGTATTTCTAATCGTAAGCAATTACATTTTATCAGTTGAATGAATGATCCAATTTCAGTGGACCATTTGATGGCACTGAAGGTAAAAGGCAAATGCTGACTTTAGGACAACAGTTTAGCATGGTGGTTTAAGAAAGAGCACTGGAGGCAGACAGAACTGGGGTTCAAGTCCAGGTACCAACACTGACTGGGCTGTGTGCCAAGAGTAATGCCACTTATCACCTTGATCTTCAGGTGCACACGTGGACAGGAATCATTCCCATCTTTAAGGGCATTAAATGACAAAGCAGACACTAAATTGAAATTGCTTACACCCCTGCCCTGCACACACCATGTGCTCATTCAGGGCTGCTGCAAGCTCCTGGTCTTGGGTCTGAGATCCCTGGGTTCAGATATGTATCCAAATTCAGGACATCTGGGACTTTAGAAAGGTAACATGGTGCATATACAAAAAATCACACAACCCTCCTGTGGAAACTGTGCAGCTTTTTATTATTTTTGAAAAGAAATATGAATATTTACCTAAGTCCAGGTCAAATTTTGTCACCAAAATTACAAAAATAAAATAAGCTTTCAGAGCTTTTTGGACATGAAATTACAGATACTGGATGTGGACTTGGGATTACTAAGGAAAGGGCTCTCTTCAGAGTTGGAACACCCAGCTCTGGTGTGTTGGATTTTAATAACCCCATGTCTTCTCCCTGTATTGCCCACCCTGCTTCAGAGGCTGGATGATTTCTCTCTGTTTTTAATCATTAGGGCAAAATGAATTTTAACTTAATGCTCCTTCACCCTGAAGACTATTGGAGATAACTTAATGTACTAGAAAAACCCAACAATTGGTGTTAGAACTTCAATTTTACCATCAGCCAAATTTACCATTGGAAAACTAAACTCAAAATACTGAAACAGAGAGGAAACCACAAGCTGTGGGTTGTTGATAGCTCCAAACAGGGTACTCAAGGCCAGTCACAAACAGCATCTGACATTGGCCTGCACCAGCAACGCTACAAAAAGACTGAGAGTCCTAGCAGATCTACCTAATACATAGAAACAAACCCAAATAGGCAGCAAAAATGGGGAGACAAAAAAACAAAACATAACAAGCCCCAAATGAAAAAACAAGAGA